CCAGGAGCCACCAACTACAGGGGTCCGTGGAATGCAAAAGCAAAGTCGCTTTGGCGGGATTCCCTTTCTGTAAAACTCTTTGTTCATAAATTGAAAAGTTTGTTTGATTGACGAATTTATCCGAACACATCCTTTCTTTTAACCTTCTTGTGCACCAAAACTGTCATGCTCTGCTTCTATTCGAACTGCACCTGACCTTTCGGTAGACAAAGCGTGAACTATCGTGCGAGATAAGGAGCGATATTTAATTGCTCTAGAAGTCTAAGTTACATTCTCTCTATGCCACCGACCGGTTACTCCATGGAACGCCCTAAGAAATGATTGAAAAAGGTGTTCACCGCATCTTCATGAAAAACTTCTGAAGCTGTTTACTTGCTTATTCACATTCGATATCTCTCAAATATTCTTCTTAGGTTATAGTAGTATTGAAACACCTCATAACATCCTTTTGAGGGTTATCGTATTTCCATTTCAGAAAATATTCATGAAGCATGATCAATTTTTTAATCAAAGGTTACCGAAAAGCTTACCAAAGCGTGGAGTCGTTGCGTCATGGATGCAAACTATTCTTTACACCACGCAAGTGGGAAAGTAAAATTGAACCACGCCATATGTCCTGTGAGGGGCTGACGGGTAGTGATGTCCGTCATCACGAGCATGGTGCTGGTTCGATTCCGCCTCGAGTTAACCCGCCTCTAATCTCTCCGGGGTAGGGAAATTGGTACCAGACTTGTCTGGGAAAAAAACACTATCTGCGATCCAATTGGGAACGCTGTAGCCTGGCTATATCAGCACTGCAGGGAGAATTGCTCGACCGGCATTCTACGGCATTAAGGATTAAGTGAAAACGCCAAGTAGCAAGCGAAGTCATATGTAAAGTGGGAAAATCCTCGTGGACAATGGATGAGAGGAAATGAGTCGAATGTGAGAAGTGCTGGGATCCGCGGCGTAGACATGAAGACGAGTTTAGTGAAAGTGATGAAATACCAAAAACAGAAAACTCGTACAAGAGCTTCTAGACGTTGTCCGAAATGGGAGCTATTCACGTAAACTCCGTGTTTGAGCTTTTTCAAAAATGACGATCCAAGGTGTCGATTCACCAACAACACTTAGCTGATATACTACTTACTTGATACTTGAACCGCCCATCATCAGTAGTTGTGCGGGCCCCAGCATAATCAACGTTTTTCGGAGATTTGCTGGTTAAGCTATTGTGGTTTCCTAGAATTCCGAGGACAGCATGGCTAAAGTCTGCCCCAGCTGATATACTTATATTCACCATTTCAGGAGGATGGCGGCACCCGAAATTAACCAAAAATTAAGCAGTAAAGAAAAATCCTTCAATGAGAGGGAACTGCAGGAAGTAGCAACAGTCAAATCCTCTGATGAGAAGCGATCGCATGAACGGACAACCATCAAATCCTCCGATGGAAAGGAATCCCACGACCGCACAATCCTCAGATCCGCCACGGAGATCGAAGCGCATGGTGGGACAAGCGATGAAAAAGAGGAAGTGAGTGAGATTTCATATTGATTGATTGAATGATTGAATAATTGTAAGATATCTTAGCAGGAAAGCTGTAAACCAACCATTACGTTCACTTATTGTTTTCCGTGAAGCAGTGGTCGGAAGCTTCTTGCAATACACATGGGATCGATACCCGCGCCTCAGGTTCACCGAGTAATCCATTCCTGCGGGGTCGGCAAATTGCTCCCATACTTGTCTGGGAGTATAGCAGCTCTGGCTGGGTACATCGGTAGGCAACCGCGAGTCATTGTAAAGGCCAGGTATGCATTTAATCAATCACCTCCAACGATGCCTAATGAAACCGAATGGATGGCGCGTCCTTCAGGGATAGATCAACACCTAGAGCTTCATTACTCGTCGTTTTTACTGTTTTCCGCATTCCCTAGTGAGTTCTTACTGTTGCAGTTGTCCCGTATGATGTTCTAGATTTAGCTACGCCTTTCACTGGCTTTCTTCGTCCTAATTTTTATGTCGAGCTACTCCATTAGCACAGTATTATTCCAGATCACGGGATGGAGAATCTTACCACACTTGATGAAAAAGTGGAAAATGGAACTCGTGCTACTTTTGACACCATTTATCTTCAGTCCTTTAGTGGTTTCCGAGAGGAAGGTAGGTTAACATGTACTCCGCTCTGCAATACTTCGAAGTTCAATCGTCTCAATGGTTCTTTTCTTTGCGTTTCCTCGATTTTCAACGGTTTTATTGTATTTCTATAAACAAATTTTCTTCAAAAATCTCTAGTTCTAATGCGCAGCGAACCTCATTGCATGTGCTTGAAAAGTCGTAAAACCACTTATTAGATTGCGATCTTAATTGACAAAAGAAAACCTCACAAACCTGGAAATTTATTGAAGACTGATTTTCCTTGAAATTAAAATAAATGCAACCACAATGATGCTGAGATATTTGCAAAGCTCCCGACCGCAGGTGTTTGCGATGGGAAACGAACGCGCTGTTGTTCTTTCCGAGGAGTAACGCGTTCACCGCCACGCCATGAGTGTTCTTCGTTTTGCCTGTCTCTCAGCTAGTTCTATTGATCTTTTGCCATCAGCAAACACCCGTCAACAGGACTGGTCTGGGAGACCAAATCAGCAACGAACCCAGTTATAATTTTAACTTATTGTTTACTGCCTACTCTACCCAGTTATATTTCGCAATATACCCTGCTATTAAAAAGAGTAGGCAGTAAATAATAAGTTAAAATTGTGATTATAACTGCAGCCTCAGCTTAACTAGGTTCGTTGCCGATTTGGCTCCCTAGATCGGTCCCCTTGACGGGTAATTGCTGATGGCAGAGAACGATAGAACTAGCTGAGAGACAGGCGAAACGAAGGACCCGCATGGTGTGGTGGTGAACACATTACTCCCGGAATGGACAATAGCGCGTTCGTTCTCCACCACAAACACCTGCGGTCCCGAGTTGCAAATATCTCAGCATCATTGACTCTATATGCCTTTGCAGACCGCTCGCCCAATCCTATACATCTTTTAATCCTGATTTTCTTTGGTCGATACGAGTGTATAAGAGTCATGTTTTTTCTGCTAGCTTATTTTGGCACACAAAACCCTTTTTCCGCATATTTTTATATATCACTCGATAGGTTATTCAACAAACATGTTTTGGAAGGCTTGGGCTTTAGTTATATTCTACATTTAGTAATATGCAAAAGCGTAATTTCCAGTAGGTTTATTAGAGCGTAATATGGGACCCATTTGGCTATTCTTTGGATTCTAATCGCTGTAGTGTGTGATGGATATTGGATGAAACTTGTGGGTATAAAAATCACCGAGATAGATAGAGCATAGGTTGCGAAACATTTTGAAATGCTGACAGCAATATACATGTAAATATGATGGGCCATATTAAAATGTAGTGAGTAGCATCATTCATTCTACCTAAACGCGTAGAGCGATAGAGCAAGGTTCCTTCCGCAATCCCTTGATGTTCACAACCACCAAAATCCTTTTGCGATCGGAAATCACTGTTTGTTTTCCAAAAGCCATGAACTCGACAATAGCTACAAGTTAGTAGTCGCCTCAAGTGGCATGGACGCTAAAAGTCAGGCGAGGGTTATGCGGAAATCCTACGCGGCTCCTAATCTCGTTCTTCGCGGTTGTCGAAATCCACCAGCAGTGGTTTCGCTTCGCTAATTCACTTCAGTGTGAGTTTTAAAAAAGCCGAAAACGACATAAGGTAATGTTGAATCGATGGATCACCAGGTTTCTTAACTCTTTTATTTACTGCCTTTTTCTTCTTAATGGCAGGGTATGTTGTGAAATATCAATCATCAATCCCGTTGACGGGTGATTGCTAATGGCAAAAAGATCGATAGCACTAGCTGAGATACATGCAAAGCGAAGGACCGGGATGGTGTAGTGGTGAAGTGCGCTGCTCCCCGGTAAGGACAACAGCGCGTGTTCGTTCCCCACTGCACACACCTGTGGTCCGGAGTCTTGCAGATATCTCAGCACTTCACACCAGGTTTCTCTTCCACACCGATGAGATCTTTGTGATTACCTTTAATTGTGAAGGCTGAATTCTTTCTTAGTATTCCTGATGTCAGGCATCTCTTAGTGATTATGTCATTCTCGACCTCACCACCGCCATCGTGTTCGGTGTTTAATGAGCCGACGGTACCTTATCGACGTTTTCGATGACGGTGTTTCGTCAAACCGCGGAAAATGAAAACAATCCCACCTCTCGATTAATGTAGTAATTCACTTTATGACACCCTCAGCTTTCCCTGCTTTCTGTAATTAATACAAAAATCCATTAAAGCGACACCGAAGCGATTCCGTGGAAAATGTTGTCATTGCGGAATTTGATAAGCAACGCATGGTTTGTTGAGGTGATTAATCTCACTCTAATTTTCTCCACATAGGAAGCTCTCTGCCCAGTATCAAAAAAAGTTTTAGAATTAGTGTTAACAGCTTTGGGTATAAGAGTAAGATGACTTCGCGTTTTACTAGCTCCCCACAAATTAGTGTACCAGAATGTGACGCTCGGGCTTTCTTGAAGCTATTATCTCTCTGCTCCAACAACCATCGACAGCCTTTTTGTGACCTTTACAGGCTAAAAGTTTTAATGTATGTTATAAATTGCTTGGATGAAATCAGAATTTCGTAGCTTGACTTAAGCAAAGACGACAGACCCTGTTAAGGTCACTAAAAAGTCAATTATTTTCATCACACTTCATTTATCCATGGCTAATTAGAATCTCACATTCTTTCATATATAATGGCATATTCTTAGAGAATGTTCCTTTCCACTTCATGAAAGCATTGTAGGAAGCAGTGTCTTCCTGTGTTCTCTGTGGTGTATATCGTTTTGATATCCCTTTTCAGCACAGGAATATTATCAGCTCCTGTTTTGGTCGGTCGGAAATTGAAGCTGAGAATATGAAATAGTCTTTTTTTGTGTTTATGTTCATAGACAGCTTGCAAGAGTCTTGAACACTAATCAATCATCTCGAAGCCATCACCGTATACTCTTCAACCACTTAGATATATGCTTTTGCTTAAAGCGACATGACGGATGCTTTTAAAATTACGATAGAGAATTGCTGTAGACATGTGCTAAAGCACGCCTTTATACATTCTGATAGGATTTTTCAGTTAGGAGGCGAAATTCTCAGAATTTGTGTATTGCAAACGAAGGAGCACGTATAAAGCGTTCAGCCTTGATTAAACTGTTACGAACGCGTTCAACTTCACCAAGCTTCGTAGAAGTTGTTAAATGTACATCTTGCTATAAAATGGCTTGCGCTGTCCTACCTACCAATTCGCTCATTTTATGATTCCAAGTACTTCTGGCAGAAATTTTCTAACCATGTAGAGTTTGGCAAGCGTGAGGTAGCATCGAATCACTGAACTTCTGCTCTGAAAGGCGGTTCTAGCAAAAAGGCTACAAAATCCTTCCCGATATAGATAATTATCCATAAACATGGCATTACGGGCTGATCAGCGCACGGAGAAACTAAAAATTATGGTCGCAATTGTTAAACTATCTGCGGTCTATCTATTGTTACCATAAATTTTCAAGGAACTACGGTGCGCTTATTGTGTTTGTTTGATGGGCGTTTATTGGATGACGGAGACACTACCGCTAGCGGTTACTGCCATGATTCCAGTTGTACTCTTTCCTTTGACCGGTGTGATGACCTGTAAAGCCGTCGCTCAGCAGTTTGTCAATGTAGGTTTATTTGTTTATGTAGTTATTCCAAAAAAAGTAGAATGGAGTATTCCTTATGCATCAATTTTTTTGAAAACAGATTTTTTCGGTTAAAGAAGTTAGGGACGAAGGACGTACCATTTAAACATGAATATGTCTAGAACAGAAATGAAATGTAGATTTGTCGAAGCGTTTTAGAATATCACAAAAACATGGTAGCTTGAATTGAAAAAACGTGTTGTTTTCTTAGATAATACTACTTTCATAGGATACAAACTTCCTTTACATCGGTGGCCTCATTGTCGCCCTAGCCATAGAGAAGTGCTTCCTTCACAAACGTATCGCTTTGTTTGTGCTGAAAATGGTCGGCAGTGATCCGAAATTGTGAGAATTTATCACATTGTGCCAAATTTAAAGTGACAAAACAATTAGAAGAAAAGGATAATTACGAATGTGATTGATCCACTGTAGTTTTTTCTACGGAGTAGACTTCATCCAGAAAATTTCGCTTGCGTGACGATAAGCTACCTAGAAAGTTTTGTTTTTAAAGGATTACTAAGACAATGGTTTGAAGATGTCTACATATTTACTCTCATTCCATTGTTGTTATGTTGATCTTCCTACCATGTATGTGCGATAGCCTAGATACACGGTAATTACCATGCATATACAGTGGCATGGATATTCGGACTGTCGATAGTTCATCAGCTTTTAAACAAAAAGATGCTTCGTTTTTTGTAGGCATATCTTTCTTTAACGAGGCACTTGTGATAAAATTATGTAATAATTTGACCCAGAGGAGAAAACTAACACATTCATCATTTTTTCCTCTGAAAGCAAGCAGTAGTTTGCTGTTTCAAAGCAAAGCAGTGCTACGACAATAGATTGTCGGTAAACGCTCTGTGATCCAAAAAAAATCACACAATTCGGTCTTAAGCATAGCTCCAACTCAATGAAACTTTGTTTAACTACTTATTTCTTTCCTCTAACTTGCCTATTTTCAGCATCATGCTCGGTCTCATGGTCGGCACAACATCATTGAGGTCAGTATGAAGTTTTCGATTCATTTCGTTCGTTGATTTGTTAAGATCACGAAGAAACACAGAGCAAAGTTACCAAAAGGTGTTCTCGTGTTAATACTTGGTTACTTGGATACTTGGACGGCCCGTCCTCAGTGGCTGTGAGGGTCCAAGCACAATCTCCATTGTTCAGAGTTCTGTTGATTTAACCATAGTGTTTCCCTGCAGTCCCGCGGTCAACATGGCCAAAGTCTGCCCCAGGTCGGCACTACCACAAGCAGACACCTGCTTTGTGGATCAGTTGAAGACTTGCCATCACACGATTAGTTTCGTACCGGGACGGCGGTGAATCCTGGCATTGGTTTACTCGCAGCTGAGCTTCCTAGTGGAAACGCCGGACTCCTTCTCAGCTTGGGAGACCCTGCTGGGTGGACGAATCTCCCGCTGTACACCGCAGCCGGAAACCCAAGAACATCTCCTAGCCACGACGAGTCATTAAAGCGCTGGGAAGCTCGTGTTAATAACAAAATAAAGTAAGCGAATGTCAGTGAAACTCTATTTGATCCTGTTGCTAACCAATGCTAAATAACAGTGGCGATAACAACGAATACTCTGCATCGTTGAACTTGCCGCGCCTCCGAACATATACACCGTCACATTTGTCGTTTTATTTCTGGAAGGTCACTTGGAAGCAGCCCGCTAGGTAGTTTCGCGAGCAACTTGTCCGAGTTCGCTCTTCATGGGTTCGTAGGAATACCGTATTAAAACACGAAATTTCTACGGCCGCACAATATAAAGATGTGTCAGTATGCCCTCAATGTTTTTCTTTCCGAAACCCGATTAAGGGCGGAATATTGATTATTGAAACTTGCAAAAAGTGCAACAAACATGACTCTGACATTATTCATTATCGGAACCCACTTGCTACAGAAATTTGAGTTTTTTCAATACCTCAGGAGTATTTTTCGGAAATTTTGTGTTGCGTAAAATGCGTGCATAAGAAATATTACATTGCATGAATATCGATTTTTTGTGGATGGTGGGTTTGAGTTCTCTAATTCGTAAATTCTTAAGGATTGTATGCTATCAGTAGGTGTTTACTGGGCTCATAGAAAAAGTGCTAAGACGTTTTATCGTTTGTAAAACTTCAGCATGTTCATCTCAAACACTGCCACCACGGCGATGATGGTGCCGCTAGCACAATCACTGATTAACGAACTAGAGTCATGCTACAATCTAAATACAGTAAGTCGGTAAGCACTGACGGAAATATTTAGCTTATTCATTTGTGTGTTTGTCAACGAAATTTTTAGAAACAGAAAAGCTAGCAATTTTCTTTTCTACTATAGTAAAATATTAGTTCTGAGTTCACCACGGGCGCCTGTGGCACAGTGGTCTGAGGCGGCATGCAACACACACGTGGAATCGGTCCACGCGCCCATGGCTCACTAAGCCTTCCATCCCTCCGGGATCGGCAAATTCGTACCAGATTTGTTTGAGAGGATAGCAGCACTGGCTCGATACATCGGTAGGCCACCACGAGTCATTGTAAAGGCCAGATACGCATTCAATCGCCTTCAAACGATGCTTAATGAAGTCGAATGCATGGCGCATCCCTCACGTATTGGTCAACGCCGAAAGCTTTATCCTTTTTCTTTTAGTTCTGAGTTTTGCGGGTACGAATCCCAAGTGAGGCTTCGAGTTTTGCTCATATCTGAGTATTCTTTTCATTGTATTTTATGTAATGCTTTGTCATGAAGAGAGTAGACAGTAATTAATTGTCAAACGTTAACCCCAGAAAGTTTAGAATTCACTACAGTCGTGGAATTCGATGCTTTCCAGATTTTGGTCGCATTTCCACTTTCGATAACTTCTTCCAGTTTCTTTTTTGCGCGCTTTTTGTGTCACTCGATCGAACAGTGCTCTGTGAGCAGACCATCGAAGAATTCATTGATACATCTGAGTAATTCGCTACTCAATGGAAACATAGTTTACACAATTGGCACCGGTATCACCTACGGTTGAAGACTAACGGTGGAAACAGGCTTTTTTTTCGCGCTGCAAAAGGACAAGAGATAACTACATGATGTGTCATGGAACTAACTTCATCTGGTACCAGTAGACCTAAAGCGTGAGATTCGCAGCTCCCTACATCTTTTCTCACCGCCTTGACAACTTAGACTATAACATTAAAATTTAGGCGTATGGGGGCAGTTTTCTTCAATTATTAAGCTAACACTAGGTTGGTGTGAATGTTCTATTCGACTAACGTCTCGATGCCTTCGTCTTCTTCAGAGGCGGTTTGAACACAGTCGATGCTCCACAGATCGTCGCCCTTCCGATATGGGAGTTCTTTATCGCATCGAATCGAATCAAGTGAAGTGGAGCGTCATTCCAACCAAAAATCTCAACCAGCAGTGCCCTTTTAGATGCAACGTATGTTGCTCTACTGCAGCAATCTGATACGACCTGCTTTCCTAGCTGCAATGCATCCGGCAGAAGTCATTTTCATTATTAGATGACATGGCGAAACAGTGGCAACAGTAGATCAACATGAGTCCTGTATAAAAGTGCACTCCCGAGTAAGATTCCACTTTCGATCAGTATCACTCCATAATTCGGCTCGATGCGACAACGAACATCCACATCGCGAGGACGACCACCCGTGGATCATCGACCAAAATCGATCGGTCACTGAAGAAGACGACGACATCGAAACGTCAACCGGATAAAACTTTTACACTAAGCTCTTGTTAATCACTCAAGAAAACAATGATTATTCATGACGACGACAAAGGAAGGTCAAATTCTGAAGTAATGAAGATAATATTAAAAATTTTTGATAAAAAGTAAACAGTAAGGAGAGAACAATTAAAACACTGGTCGTCGTTACTCTTGAGCAAAATTATTAAACGACATCACAATATTATCTTCTTCTCTACCTCCTATTACAACCTATCGCGGCAGGGTATTGCTTGTGATGCAACCACAGTGATGTTGAGATATGTGCAAAGCTCCGGACCGCAGGTGTCTGCGGTGGAGAACGAACGCGATATTGTCCACTCCGGGGAGTCCGGGGAGTAACGCGTTCACCACTACACCATGCGGGTCCTTCGCCTGTCTTTCAGCTAGTTCTATCGATCAATGATATCAGCAATCACTCGTCAACGGGAATGATCTGGGGAACCCCAATCGGTAATGAACCCAGCTAAGTTGAGACTGTAGCCGTTAGCGCGTTCGTTTCCCACCGCAGACATCTGAGGCCAGGAGTTTTGCAAATATCTCAGAATCATTGTTATTAAACGACAGTTCTTCCACTCTTTTCTTTCTCTTCCAACTGTCATCCATAAAAGTAACGGAATCCGAATCAGAAGTCAAATGAGACTCGAAAAAAGCCAATTAATTTTCGGAAAAATCAAAATGGTGAACAACATCTGTCGACCATCTTACCGACGAATGATCGATTTTTTAGAGAAATTCGAAATAGTTGCAAGAGCATGTCGATCGGTTTGGTGTTGTGCATTTGCATTGCGTCGAATATCGGCGGTACGGGTACGATAACAGGAACACCGACGAACCTTGTGTTGGCTGGACAGCTGCCTGAGTAAGTAAACGATCATTTACTCTGAAAAATTGGGTTTTCAAATTAGCAAAAGCCTTCGCATTCATAGTAAACAGTGTAAGGGCAGATCTTTCCTTTCTATTCTCACTCAATTTGCTTAGGAATCTTATGACCAAAATAAAATGGTACTACTTCTAAAGATCAAGCGACCGTGTGAGGTTCACAGTTAAATATTCAAAATGTTGCCAGTGATTTGAAACTACTACGGGATTTTATAGAAATCAACGCTGATCAGCAATTCTTTTGCTATGAAATGGTATTAGAAGCTGTTTAATCTTAAAACCAATCGCTTTTAAAAAGAACAAATTGCAGATTGTTCGGCAGTGAAGCGACCATCGACTACGTGACATGGTTTCTAGTCGCATTTCCGCTGATGTGTCTCTGTATGGCAGCGGCTTGGTGCATTCTGATGACGATCTTTCTCAGGAAAGCAATCAGCAATGAGCGAGTCACTGAGCTCATGCATAGAAAATACGACGAACAACCCGATATGACGTATGGTGCTATTCTATTTTCTATTTATCTGATCCAGCGTGTATAGCGCACTGGTTTGAGTGCATTGCAATGCACTCGTAGTCGTTAATTCGATCTCGCTCCCTGGGTTTACCAAGCCTTCCATACCGCCGGAGTCGGGAAGTTGGTACCAGACTTGTCTATGAGATAGCACCAGCGATTTGAATACCGGTAGGACCACACAAGTTACTCCAAAGACTAGGTGTGCATTTTTTAATATCACCTGTAAAGGTG